TTTGAATATATATATATATATATATATATATATATTAGAATTACAAACATTTACAAGCTTATGTGCTTAATTCAGGCTTACAAACCTTTGTCAAATCGAAGAACCGATAGCATAATACACAGAAGGACAGTAGGAAGGGTAACAGTGATATTCGAACCCGCTACCTCCACGCTTTGCTCAGCGCTTGGCGGTTGATACCGCTTTTCCACGGGTCTTTGATAATCATTTCATCACGTGATTTGTGACGAAACGTGAAGTCTCAAATCTTTGACGAAAATACTTTCTCAGCGCGAAAGCTATGAACTCGAAAGTGATCAACAGAAGTTGGTTACTCCCGTTCGACACCATGAAGAGTCAACAAAAAATAAATAAACTAACAAAATAGTTCTTTACTTTTGATGAAATTCGTTTCCTTGAAGAAGTGACGACAGTTATTTTATCAATTTGGCGAAATGTTCCTTCATAGCGTATACCAGGAAGCGGTTTAGCCTCAAGCGAAAAAAATTTCGTGACATTTGAGTTACCATTTCTTACAGTATTTATCCACTATTTGCCTACAGAGTACCAAAAAAAAACAGCTTTACCGGCATTTGCGGCAACATGTTAAGTTGCAAAAGTTTCATTAGAACACGTGGAAGGAAAAATAAAAATATTCCAATAATCTTTTATCTGTAAACATACTAACAAAACAAAAACAAATTTCTCTATTTCTAAATGAGTTACAGTTCCTAGGAACTAAAACTGCAAACTCATTCTGTTGATATTTTAGAAAGTACCTAAGGCAGTAAGTATAAATTTCTTGAAATACATGCAAACTTTTATGCTCTTCTTCCATTTCTAGTGGTAGTGAAATACCAAATGAAGTATTAGATTATACAGACTCTCAATTCACATTTAGAAAACGCTTGAATCATAATAAGATCCTAGTCCTAGTGTTTCGATTTTATTGGGCACCTGGGCCGCGAAGCGACCCCTATCCCATTCATCTGGAATTTTAGAATAGTTTTGGTTGAGCAATGAGGTAAGCAGGCGATGGAGTTGCTTTTATGAATGTTTCAAGCTCTTTGCTTGAAGTAATGAAAAATATTGCATTCAATGTATTTGTTTTAAATATGAATACTTTGAAATGTAAGTCATAGTGGTATATCCCTGATATATTTTTCTGCGTCAGGGTAAATTCAACCTTAAAAAATTGATTAAAACGTAGATAAGGTATATCAAGTCTATTAACTTTTCATTCCGACTATCACTAATNCATTTAAAGTGGTAGTGAAATACCAAATGAAGTATTAGAGTATGCAGACTCTCAATTCACATTTAGAAAACGCTTGAATCATAATTAGATAACTATCAGGCTTGCTATAAGTATGTTTAAACTGTTTAAATGCAATGGTAGTCACAATCACGCACAGTTTAAATTAAATTTGTTAAAATATGAATCAAGTATGAATGTTGTGCTACCACTTAAAATACAGTAAAACCTTCTGCCACTTGTGGAAGAGATGAAGGGAGACAAAATGATTTAAAATTATCTTTTCTGCGTTTCTTGGATCATAACCATTTTACTTCTTACTATCAATAATTAAATTATTACCATACATAAATAAGTTAATATTCTAACATATTTTTTGTAACACATTTTTTAAGCATCATTGCACTACATTCAAAATAGAAATTTATCATTCTATTTTTATCGCATTAATCTTTTTTCGCACTACGGTAGCCGAGTGATTAGAGAATCGGATTCCAGTCCGGTGGGGCCAGAATTCGGCCTTCGACTCCACAGGGTACATTGGATGTACGCTCTCGTCAAATCAGAGGAATCAGAAGTCCAATGGTCAGTCTCCGAGCAGTACCATGCGTAGTGGGATCTGGAGAAAATTTCCCCCTTCTTCAGAGCTATGTCTAAATTAACACGTTGAACGCCACGCTAATTTTACATAGCTTGCCCAGTTTACAAATATTAGACAGATTTTGCTAGTTTTAAAAGGTTTAGCATGACATATATGAAAAAAGTGGTGAATTATATAAGACTACGAATTGTTTAAAAATAGTGGTGGATAAAAATCTACTAAATTGAATTTATTAAACTAAGAATCACGATAATTAAGTAAATTTTGAATAAATTTTCTGTAATTCCATAAAAGAGTGTAAATTTTACAGTTCTATATCATGTTATAGGCAGTCAGCCAGCTGTTTTTCGCTGCCTATGTGAAAGGTCAGCGTCAGCCACCGGTGGTTGACGCGGCCTAAATGTAATTTCAGTGTCAGGCACCGGTGGTTGAAGCGGCCTAAATGTAATTTCAGTGTCAGCCACCGGTGGTTGACGCGGCCTAAANTAAATTAAATTTGTTAAAATATGAATCAAGTATGAATGTTGTGCTACCACTTAAAATACAGTAAAACCTTCTGCCACTTGTGGAAGAGATGGCAGATATTAATTCTTACATATAATTAATGAAGGGAGACAAAATGATTTAAAATTATCTTTTCTGCGTTTCTTGGATCGTAACCATTTTACTTTTTACTATCAATAATTAAATTATTACCATACATAAATAAGTTAATATTCTAACATATTTTTGTAACACATTTTTTAAGCATCATTGCACAACATTCAAAATAGAAATTTAACATTCTATTTTTATCGCATTAATCTTTTTTCGCACTACGGTAGCCGAGTGATTAGAGAATCGGATTCCAGTCCGGTGTGGCCAGAATTCGGCCTTCGACTCCACTTAGACCCACAGAGTACATTGGATGTACGCGCTCGTCAAATCAGTGGAATCAGAAGTCCAATGGTCAGTCTCCGAGCAGTACCGTGCGTACTGGGATCTGGAGAAAATTTCCCCCTTCTTCAGAACTATGTCTAAATTAACACGTTGAACGCCACGCTAATTTTACATGGCTTGCCCAGTTAGCAAATTTTTGACAGATTTTGCTAGTTTTAAAAGGTTTAGCATGAAAAAAGTGGTGAATTATATAAGACAACGAATTGTTTAAAAATAGTGGTGGATAAAAATCTACTAAATTGAATTTATTAAACTAAGAATCACAATAATTAAATAAATTTTGAATAAATTTTCTGCAATTCCATAAAAGAGTGTAAATTTTATATTTCTATATCACGTTATACGCAGTCAGCCAGCTGTTTTTCGCTGTCTATGTGAAAGGTCAGCGTCAGCCACCGGTGGTTGACGCGGCCTAAATGTAATTTCAGTGTCAGCCACCGTTGGTTGACGCGGCCTAAATGGAAAGTCCAGTGTCAGCCACCGATGGCTGACGCGGTGCTCAATGTGTTAAGGAAGTGGCTTCACTAATGAGTGATGCTGTCTTCTATGCGTGTTGACGACCAAGACGTACTTTCATCCTTGCAGCGTGATAAACGTGCTCGTAAAATCTGCGGAATCGAAAATTCTATTACCTCTTCGTATCTATATCTAAATCGAGGAATATAGACGAAGCAAATTTAAATATAGATGTCATATCCATATTTAAATTGGCTTTACGAATGAGTGGTATTGCCATCTATCCGTGGTATTCTGGACCAAGATGTACTTTCACCCTTGCAGTGCTCTCTTGTCAAACAAAAGGCCTAATTTCCTGACTTAATTCGCAGAGCTGATGGCTGGCGAGCTTGGATTGTCCAAGTGTCATTAGAAACAACAATCTTTTTTAAAGGAGCTTAAAAAATGGAATGGGTTGAAGTGGTTCTATTGATCTAAAATTTTTATTCGTAAATATATGTGAATATAAATTTTAGTGTTAGTGAATAATAAAAATGGTGGCGGTTACTTTATTTCACACCAAGAACTACCATCGGTTCTTGGTGGAGTAAATCCCTAAGAACGAAATGTTATTTGTGGAGCTTTACTGCAAGGTAGTAGGCACCATTTTAGATGTTGATATGCACGAAAATCACTTACAGTGTAGTTATCAAATTTTAAATTTGAGGCTTATTTTTAAACCTTTTCCAGAAATTATTCAAAAATATTTATTAGTTACTGAATAAGTAAGTAAATTCTAGGCATATGGTTAACATGGTTAATCATATGCCTCCATGTTAAATCCATTAACAGCATAGAAGAAGCAGATTCTTCCTGATAGAGATCCTTAATGATTCAGAGTGTAGACAAATGGAAATGCAAATTAGTTAACTGGATAAATTATTTCTACTGACTTACGATACAATAAATACCAATTAATTCTATTTTGCAGATTCGTAATGGAGTCGAGAATCTTCTGTCAGTATGTATTTGATTTTCTTTCGAAGCAAATTAGCAAATCACAAATTAAAAATACATTTCTGGAACAGAAAAACATATGAGCACAGTGGACACTTCAAAAGCGAACAAACATACACCAGATATAGAACCTTGAGTGGACAGCAGGGATATTTCTCTAATTCATCACTCAAATTTGTTGGGGAAATTTTAACAATTAGAAAAACACGCAGTTGCATAATAACTTGGTTGGTAAAAAATAATTTCTTTAAAAAATTTTTTAATGGAAATAGGGATCTTTCAAATGTAATCTAAGCAACTAATGACTTTTTTTACTCATATACAATTATATAATTAGTGATGACTGTGACAGATTTAATGCACTCATAATCATTTTTTATTGCTTGTGACGCGCAGTTGTTCACGAGATCAATCACTCAAATTTTCTTCAATGTATGTCACACAGTTGTTTCCAAGTTCATTCAAACTTTCTTCATTGCATGTCGCATATTTGATCAGAAGATCACTCAAACTTTATTCATTGTATGTCACACATTTGTTCACAAAATCATTCTAACTTTCTTCGAGGCATATCACACAGTTCTTCTCAAGATTACATACTTTTTCTTCATTACATGCCACGCAATCAGTCACTAGATCATTCTTTCTTCGTTACATGCCACAGTTGTTACCAAGTTCACTCAAACATTCTTCATTGTATGTCACACATTTGTTCACAAAATCACTCAAGCTTTCTTTATTCCATATTGTTCACAAGATCAATCAAACTTTCTTAATTACATAACACACAGTTGTTCACAAAATCACTCAAGCCTTCTTCACTGCATATTGCACAATTGTTTAGAAGATTACTCACTCTTTCTTTATTACATGACACATAGTTGTTTACAAGATCACTTAAATTTTCCTTAATAAATATCACACAGTTGCTCACGAAGTCGTCCAAACTTTCTACATTACATGTCACACAGTTGTTCATAAGATCATTCAAACTTTCTTCTTTGTATGTCACGTAGTTGTTACCAAGTTCACTCAAAATTTCTTCATTGTATGTCACACATTTGTTCACAAAATCACTCAAGCATTCTTCATTGCATATAGCACGGTTGTTCACAAGTTCAATCAAACATTATTCATTGCATCTCACACAGTTGCTCACAGAATCACTCAAACTTTTTTCATTGGATATCGCACAATTGTTCAGAAGATTACTCACTCTTTCTTCATTACATGTCTCTCAATCAGTCACAAGATCATTCAGTCATTCTTCATTACATGTCACAGAGTTGTTTGCAAGATCATTTAAATTTTCTTTATTAAATGTCACACAATTGTTCACAAGATCACTCAAACTCTCTTCATTGCTTATCACACAGTTCTTAATAAGATAATTTAAACTTTCTTCATTGCATATCGCACGGTTGTTCAGAAGATTACTCACTCTTTCTTGATTGTATGTCACACAGTCAGTCACAAGATAATTCATTTTTCCTTCATTACCTGTCACATAGTTGTTTACAAGATCACTTAGATTTTCTTCATTGAATGCCACAGAGTTGTTCACATAGTTACCCACTTTTTCTTCATTATATGTCACACAATTGATCACAAGATCGCTCAAACTTACTTAATGACATGTCACATAATTGTTCAAAAGCATCTCATCGTAAATTGTTTTAAAAAAATTAGATATCAATTTATGAAAACAAAATCTGATTCTGCAAATAAAAAATCATATTTATTCTCTCTTCTTACTGTAAATTGTAAAAATGAAATTTACATTTTATCTCTGTTAATTTTTGCAGACTGTCACAAATGTCGTAAGTTAAAGTTTATATATTAAAAAAATACTTTATTTTATACCCGTTGGATGAATTTAAAGGTTGAGAAACTTATGTTTTTATTAACTAAACTTAAAGAGAGCTGCAAAACATTATTAACAATCTGTATTTAGTAGAGAGTTCTAATTTACATGAAAAAAAAGCATTTCTCCTTAGAGTTAATATGAATTTCAACCGCAGACAAAATTTCAAACTGGAGTATATTTTTTGTTCTTGCTTTTAAAACTTATACAAACGTAACAAATATCGATTATATTCCAGAAATGGTGTAAAAGTCCCGATATTTTGATAAGTAAATAGCCTTTAAAAACAATAACTTGGCACTTTTAGCAAGTTATTTATGTTATTATATTAACGCATTATAAGCGGGTCTCGTTAAAATACTTTCTTGAAATTTGTGTAATCCATACAAGAGTAGTTTAAAATGTGGTTGTAAAACTACTTCTTTTCCGCTTTTTTTTTAAAGAAAAAAAAGAAATTATCCATTTATGATTACGACAATTCGTGATATAATAAATATGTAAACAATATTACAATTACTCGGCGAATTTTTTCTTTTTATAACAGAAGTTGTAGCTATAGATAAAAGTTTGCTCCAGATTTTATGAAATCCTGCCTACCACTTTTTTAAAATTCCGATCTCTAACAACTGTAATACATTTTTTGGAACATTTTACTTGCATGCAAGGATTTAAAAGGAAAGGGAATGCACCGGGAAATTAATACTTTCAAAGTGGCAATAATCAGGGTATGAAGAAAAGTGGTAGCAGGCTACAGGCTTTTTTTTAATTTTATCTTATTGCCGCTGTTGAACAGCCATCCCAAATTCGAGATTACAACTTCTAATGTTCAACTCCATAGAGAGCCTTATAGTTTTAAACCTAATCCAGAAAACAAAGAAACTCCTTTAACACGCTGAATGCCACGGTAAATAACTACAAATATAGACAGATTTTGCTAAATTTAATAGGTTTAGCCTGACTTATCTGAACAAAGTGGTGAATTATATATGCCTACGAATTGTTTAAAAATAGTGGTGGATCAAAATTTACTAAATTTAATTCATTAAAACAAAAATCACAATAAATTTTCTGCAATTCGATAAAAGAGTGTAAATTTTATAGTTCTATATCATGCTATACGCTGTCAGCCAGCTGTTTTTCGCGGCCAATGGGAAAGGTCAGCGTCAGCAAGCGGTGGCAGACGCAGCCTAAATGTAATTTTAGTGTCAGCCACCGGTGGTTGACGTGGCCTAAATGGAAAGTCCAGTGTCAGTCACCGATTGCTGAAGCGGCGCTCAACGTGTTAAGAGAACAAATATCTAAGAAATTTGCCTTCGTGGAGGACTTATTGATGGAACTAATCTACATATGCGTAACATGGAAATTAAAACCACGGTTAGCCTAACGGCACTGAAATCTAACCATCACCTCCTACATCAGAATGCATCTACACGGTTTTTTACAAGTAGTCTGCGCAGACTATTTAAAATGTAAACCAGTTGTGTGCCTGAACCCAAATTCTTTTTTATAAAGTAATTGAGAGAAATTTTTCATATATATTTGAGAATTGAATCTGTAGTGGTTGACAAGCAAGTAAGATACGCCAAATATATCAATTAATTAAAAAAAATTATTAGACATATATCTGCTACCACTTTTTCATTTTTACTAGATTTTCTATTAAAGCTCTCTTTCTTATACTGGTTAACCTTTATAGTGGTCTAATCGGACTGCCTATTAAAAACCGTGCAGATGCTTTTAGTTATAGGAGGCTCTGACTAGAAGCAGTATGGCATACTAATCATTTTAATTATCAGTGACACTCAGTCTGAGGCGGAAGAAGTAGTCCCACACCATTATATCTATAGTCAAAGATACACAAAATAAACTATCAGAGGGGTGAAAGGTAACCCCACGCAATTATATCATCGTATTAACTCTAGGTTTACGGGGCGTGTCATTTTGACGCATTTCGAGTTTTATAAGGAAAATTACAAAACCAGTTTGAATTTTTATTTCATCTCTTGTAATGACTTTTATCCATTGATCAAGGTAAATATATATTGAAGTCGATTTTTTTCAAAAGCGTCGAAATATTAAAGTTCTATTTGTGGTATACCTTATCTCTACGGATATGCGTAAATTTGACGCGATTGTAAATGTAGAAAAAGTTTTGAGTAAACATGCAATTATCACATCAGTAATAAATAGGAATGTACCGTCAATAGTTCGATCCATTATCCGATAGCCTTAACTCAAATGAAACAACTGTTGCCGATAAGCAATAATAAAAAGAACAAACGCAGAATGTCAATTGATGTCAGGGGGTCAGATTTTGAAGGTTTCAGTTGCTTAGTTCGAGTATTTAAAAATAAAATACTCGAATATTTCATAAATATATGTCTCATATTTTCTTCTTTTTTTTCTTATAGTATATAATTACACTGCCTTCTAAGTGCAGAGATGCCAAATTGCCAACTGCTCCGGAATTCCAATATAATTAAAAAAAACTGTAAATAACAACTAAATAAATTTTGAATTATGAAGTGGTGAATTATATAAGCCTGCGAATTATTTAGAAATAGTGGCGGATAAAAATCTACTAAATTGAATTTATTAAACCAAGAATCACAATTGAATACCACTTTAAAATATATATTTGCTGTCCGGAGCAAGTTGGCTTCTCTGTAAGTGCTGTTATATTTATTCGTTCATGCGTCAAATTGACGCATGTTCGTAAAGATAGGTATATAAGAAACTCCCGTAAACCTAGTGTTAACACAGCCAGGAGTCAGGCATTATACAACTAGGGCTGAAGTAAAATGCTTTGGTCCTGAAGTAAATGTTTGGTAACTACTATCTATTAAAGCTCTCNGCTAGTTGATATCTCGGTATGCGTCTCTTTCAGCCTAGTTACATATTAGGCTGAAAAATTGGTACTAAGTACAATACTCATTCGTTGTTTTTTATTATTATTTATTTGTTATCATTATTTTTTTTTTGATTTAGCAATAGTAAATTTAGTATATATATATATATATATATATCGCTGGTATGTAGTTATTTGTATTTATGTTGGTTTCTAAAAATTAAAAATATATTATTTTCTACAGCTTGATGGAATAGTTGGTGTAAGTAATTTTTAAACTGTTTGCTTACTTTTTATTATTATTTTACTTCCTTCATTTGAAAATCTATCTAAATGCCACTGTTACCACGGGTCTGTGAAAAGTTTAACACATTTCTTGAAGTCTGGCCAAACTGTAAATAACTGCTAACTTTGCAAATATTAGCCAGATTTTGCTAGTTATTTGGATGGTTTGGCAAAACATGTATGTAAAAAGTGGTGAATTATATAAGCCTACGAATTGTTTAGAAATAGTGGTGGATAAAAAGCTACTAAATTGAATTTATGTAATCAAGAATCACGATTAATAAACTACCACTTTAAAATATTTATTCGCTGTCCGGAACAAGTTGGCATCTCTGTGTATATAAATAAAACTATTTTTGTGAGTTCTATATTGCATTAATTTCTTCTAACCATTTTAGTAACGATCATGATGTAAAAAAAATTAAAAATTTACTCGATGTGTTTCTAATAATCTTGACTTCACCGGTCATCTGTGACCCCTGTGGCGCTACGAACAAACTCAGTGCCGGTCATCGGTGACCCCCATGGCATTCAACGTGTTATAGATAGTAATGTCACGTTAATACCAGAAGGAATTTCCCTTTTTTTAAATGACAGTTTCGCGTTTAGAGATCTGATTGTGCTGTGTTTTCAGACTGATGTATCTACTATACAAAATAGCATTTAATGTTGGTCGCAAATATATTAAGGTTGTTTTTCGAAGGCTCTGCCGTATTATGAAATGATGCTTTTTGAGAATAATATGATATTTTTATAGCTGCTGTCAGTTTGCAACTGTTACTCATGACTGTAAGCTCAAGTTTAGCCTATCGAAAGTCTGAGTTGTCGATTATGAAAATGGCGCAGAACGTCAATAGGGAGAAACACCACAATTCTGTGAAAATGAAAAGCATTTGTCGTCCAGTTTTTTAATATTTAAAACTTACTACATAGCTACAATACAAGGTTCATAAAAATTTGCAAAAACAGAGAATAGGAGAGTGATTTTGCTAATTTCCATTTAGGTTAAAAAATGTCGCCGAATTGGAGATTTTTAATAACTTTAATATTTAAGTTATATGTCTGTTCTAAAGTTCAGATAATTCTTCACGGCAAGATTTTATATATAATTTAAAATCATCGCATTGCTTCAAGTGTAAGGCACTTTTAATTATAACTTTTTTTAATTTCCTTGGTGACAGAGTTTCGAAAATCAGCATTAAATAATTGTGCTTTCCTTTCACTGCTGATATTAAAATTTTCTGAGGCCCATATGCTTAGCTGAAGCTTACTTCACATTAAAATATAATACCGTTTCTTTCTTTTTTACTTTTAGACACTTATATGAAAAGTAAGAAGATTCTTATATATGTATTTCCTGACCTCAACGTGCGGTCAACAATTAACCCTTTGACGGTTATGAACGAGTTCAGCTTGCAATCGAATCGTGCTTCATAATGCGCGCAAACGAGTTCCGCTCGGGAGCAAGATTTCGACCGTAATGATTAGTAACGAGCACTACTGGCGTAGTGAAATTTTTCCCAAATGCGCCCTGACGAGTTGAGCTCTTTCGCCATTATTATTCTGCATTGACTATGTTAAAAACGAACCCTACTCGCGAAAAGTAGTTAGTTTCACTGCCGACAGATGGCAATATGGGTTCCATAAATTTCTTTTCATAATGAAGGGGGAATTTATTTTTTTACCTTTTTCTTTTTATGCTCACTTTGGCGCGTTTTTTAGAATGTTTCTAAAGTAAAATGGCTGAAAAGCGAAAGTTAGATAATTATGATGATGATTGTAATACAGAAAGCTTGTCAAGTTTTGAGTCTGATGAAGACTTTGTCAGAGTATTTAGGTAATTACTGTATTTAAATGCTTCATAAACACTACATTAGTTGTTTTACATTAGTTGTATTTATTTAGTCCTTTCAATTTAATATTTGTCTTACATTTATAATGTAATTATATAATTGATTATAATCATTTATAATTTACTATTAATAATTATCATTTTTTATTTTAAAGTACGTAAAAACTGTTATTTACGTACTACAAATACTATAAGAAATTTTTAAAAGGCGTGAGGCGAGCTATCTACGGCATCGCCAGAGATACCAACTTGCTCCGCTTTGTAAAATAGTATTTCCTAGTGATAACGAAATTCAAGTTACTTTCAGTTTAGTATTTTTCCTCTTAAGTAATTTTTTCTCCACTAAATATCAAAAATTATAAGTATCATATAAAATGCAATGTTAAAGCATCAAACTACTTATTACTCAATTTAAGAAGCAGGCATAACTGTCCTTCTCCAACGAATTTGACTACATAATTTGCTACCATTTTATTATGACAATTCCAGAAAGCGGAGCAGTTGGGATCGCCAGGGAAGGGTGACAGTTTTGGAAGAACGGCGGGAGTAAACAGATGCCACTTTCGAATACTGTTTGCTCGTAATACTGCACGAATTAATGAAACGGAAACTGCTCATCTCCCTAACCG